ACATGTACATGAATGCAGCAGTCATAAGGTTGATCTTGAAAAATCAACCTCAACCCTACATATAGGCTACTGCCTATAAAATAGATACACATACACTCTCATGCCTGTACCTGGTGCTTAGGATCAATCATATTCAGAACAGGATAGAGGCAGCTATCAGGTCTTATCATTTCTTTCTTCTGACTGGTTGAGTCATTCTTCCTGCGTAGGCTCAACGATAGGAACAACTCCAGTAGTCCTGGCTGCGTCCCCATTGATACTGATATCAGATTAAGTATAGCAATCCTCAGGTTATTAGTCTAATAGAAACAGCTTGTATGGAATGACTAAAAAACCCTCTACCATACTTCAGTCCTTGCTGATAGTCGAGTAACAAAATTATCTCTCAGAGCAAGAGCCTCTTGACCAAGACATGAGAACATTGACATTGGAGCTACCTATGATGATATAATAAAATAAAAAATACATTAAATATTGTGTACTGTACACATACAGATGCTAGTCTTGTTAGTAGTTGGATGGCTGATATGGGTACAGTGTTGTCATCATGATGGTATATGTATGAAGCCAGTCTAGTCACAATGTGTTGAGGAGTGGAGGCTGAAAAGAACGAATGACCAACTGTCCTTGTAGCTAAGGCCTCCTCCAATGGTGTCACTGACTACATAACATAATAATAATAAATTAATAATATTAAATATTTAAAATATTTAGTAAAAAATAACAAGCTCACTTCAGTTTTCTTGCATTGCAATAAGAGATCGGTGATTTTGAATGATATCTTTAAAGACTCAATTGGTACTGAAGTCTGACACCAACTAAAAAAACACACACACATAGAATATGAAAAACCTCAATATACTTGAAGATGGACTAACTTGTGAGATGATGCCATCAGTTTATTAACAGTGCTGACTCCCATACCAAGTACATTGATTATCAGTACATGTCCGGATGATGTTAACAGCAAATCAACAGTGAAATCATGTAGCATACTAACCAATACACAATACACTAGTACAGTGAACAGTGAGTCTACTTACGTATGAATACTGTCACTAGCTTTATTGGCAGTAGTCTCCAATACCTTAAGACAAAGCTTCAATATGAGATGACCTAAAATATACGGAAATGAATGAACTGTGTAATGTAATTATGCACATACAGAACTCTTCTCTGTCCTTCTGGCTATTATACCTCCAGTTCTGACTGGTTAGAAACACAGCCTGCATAATGTACACAATAGTGGCCAGCATGTACTCAGATATGGTATCAGAGGAGGATAGACTGCTGTGTAGGAGTCTCATCATTGCTAGTGTCACAGCATAGCAGCCATGAGCTCTCTCCCAGACATTTAGAATATTGCAATAATGACTGGGAGATATCTGTAGACTGTAGCACAGGAAGGGGGGAAATACCAATGTAATGCAATGTATTTGGTTTTATATTACTTTTGTGGTGATCCGATTAATTGTGGTAGAAATCCAGTCTGAGCTAACTGTCTCCAAACTTCTTCTGCTTGATTCTCTGCCATCACTGCCAAGCAATTGATACATTCGGCTATGAGAAATACTGGTGGATGCAATAAGCCAGAAAACCTGGGAACAATAATACAGTACTGGAGTAGTGACAGTATTAGTAATAATGAGCTTACTTGTGTAACACGCTATACACATTAGATAGCAGTGGGCCAATGTTGAATGAAACAGACCAGTTATACTTGATGACTCTTGCTGTGAGTTTAATAATCATTGTCACATAGTCTACAACTGGATGACTCTCAGAGCCTATACAAATACTAAAGCATTAATATTGACATTATCATGTATACTC